GCCATCGCTTATCTAGCCTGACGACCAAACGAGGTAAAGGTTTAAAGATGTTGTCCACAAGACAAGTTACAAGCTCCTCGGCACCAAGTACAGCCACCGAGAAAGGTTGCTCGTCACAACGTATCGAGTTTAGATTGAGGGGTAAGTGGACGTTCGCTACCGTGGTACCCGAGTCCACGTTAAGCCCTTCGCACGACCGGATCGCGGTCGAAGGGACTTCTTGTCCTGAAATATGATGTACCAGTCGATTGTAATGGTCCTCACACCAAACGCAAAATCGGATGGGAAGTGGACTATTGTTTGCCATAACCACACTCCAACTCGAGAACGAATTCTGTGGTCGCTTCAAGATCGCACTCACTGCGCTTAGTGAATGATAGCCACTCCATGGTCTTGACGCACGAGGCCCAGGTACAGGGAGCCCTTGCACAACAGTGTTGGGAGTGTAAGCATCCTGGATCACCCCACCGTGTCAAAGCCGTGCCACGTAATATGGTTTCCACCGTCGGATGTCGCCAAACGGTCACGATAGTCCACCGGAAAACATTCGCGCGTTGGCGTACGGGGTGCTCTTTAATCTCTTCCAGACTCCAACGCTGCACGAAACTCTCATAACCGACAAAGTCGTCCTCGACGTTCTGTCTAGCTTCTTCAGCCGTCACCGCCGTTCGATCTGGTCACGCCCTTCAAATGTCATGACACCATTTGCGTGGTCTTGGTCAGTATCAGCTGGCGCTGACAATGGCGCGTTCATCTCTCTCGAGTGGTAGGCCAACGCCAAACGTTGTGAACGCAGCGATTCCCTCGTCAATGCCGTGTGCGCGACTTGCATTGCCCGGTTCGGCATGGTTCGCGTTGAAGACTGCATTCGACTGCTCGAGCTGGAAAAGATTGCCGACTCGATCATCCGCGGCAGCTCCGTCGAGCAAATGAAGCGACTGACCATCGGTGTCGAGTTGGCTGCGGCGCCAAGTGTGCTCTTCTTGGACGAACCCACGAGCGGTCTGGACGCGCGTTCTGCCAAGCTCATCATGACCGGCATCCGCAAGATCGCGTCGACGGGGCGCACCGTAGTCTGCACCATCCATCAGCCGTCGGCCGAGGTGTTTGACATGTTCGATTACCTACTGCTGCTCGAGCGCGGTGGCGAAACAGTGTTCTTCGGGGACTTGGGCGCCAACTCGCCCCGTTTGAACGAGTACTTTGGTCGCATCAAAGGTACTGTTCCGATCGCCACAAGCCAAGAGTGTTGTCGGCTTTGACTACTCCATGGCAGACTTTGCCCAAGAGAGTTGCGAGGCAGAGCCGTCGGCAGATGCACTCGTCACTCCTGCGACACCGAACCCATCGCTGCCCTAGGTGAAGTTAACCCCCAAATGCGCATCGTCCAATGCAATTCAATGAAGGTAATTTGGTCCAGCCCTTCTTTCGCATTCACTGGCGCACTCCAACGTACACCTGGATCCGCATGGGGTTGTCCATCCTGCTCGCTGTCTTGTTTGGGATGGTACTGCTCGATGGACGATCACACGTTCCAAAGAACAGTCGTCATGAACTCGATCTTACTTCACTGTATATGGTACTACCCCGCGGCGACACACATCCCCCATGGATGCTTGTGGCTGTTAAAGGCCGCGCCGTTCCAGTACTCGATGGCTGGTCGAACATGTCTAGCCCATGTGCAAAGACCCGAGCCACTATGGGTGCGCGAACCTGTATAACTTCCCAGACGCGATCCTGCCCGTGTTCCGCAAGACAGCGATCACGCTCAAGGACTCCATCGTCGGCGCGTTCGAATGGTTAGTCGAGTACGCCGTGGAGATCACCCTCGTTGTCATCGGATGCATCGTTGGCTTTTGTCTGGTCGCGGTCCTTGCCATGCGCTATAGCAATTTCCCAAACGATCATACATCGAGTCAAATCTCGCCTAAAGTCATGGCAGATGGACTCAAAGTGTTTTCTGGTGGTGAAAGCACGTCAAATGCGCCGCTCGTGTTGATATTGCAAGAAATGAAGAGGCCGTCTCGCTTGGTTGCGTGGAGCAGGAGTGACACAGCAATTTTCAACATTACGTCGTTCACGTGCATGGGTTCGCCACGAAGGATACCGGCACCGACTGGCCAAGAGCACGTCGAAAGGCCACACAAACAGTCCAAGCGACAATGCACACTTATGCCGCATGATGATCGTCGGTCATGCTCATGAGCACGTTGCCACGGTCTTG